AGCTTCCAGGATGGAGATGCCCCCTCCTTCTTCCTGACCTGCAATGGCAAGTCACAGCTCCTTCCATGCAGGAAGGCTTTCTATCGGAGGCCCAGCTTTGACAGCTTGCTCACTTTCTTAATTGGGCATTAAGCCTATCTTTCAGCCACGAATAGGCCAATCCAGGTGGAATCACCACTGGGTGCCAGTGGGTTCAGGAACTTCATGTTAATCTAGCAAATAGAGAAGCAGTTGTTTGGGGTTAATGATACTGTCTTGTGGCACAGTGGTAGGGATCTTTTGGTACAGTGGTAATGTCCCTACCCCTGGACTGGGAGGCCTGGGATCAGGTCCCAACTGCTCCAGAGGTCTGTAATAACATCCCTGAACGTGTTGATTAGAAAACAGTTGTGGCACAGTGGTTAATTGAAAATATGTGCATAAGAGTGGTAACCCACAGAGCTCATGTGGCGTACTGTTAGTGTCCCTATCTCTGGACCAGGAGTCCTCTGTTCAAGTCCCACCTTCTCCAGAGGTATGTAATAAGATCTCTGAACAGTTTGATTAGAAAATACCTTTGGCATAGTCATTTTGGTTCTTCCAGCACAGTAGTAGCATCCCTACTTCTGGGCCAGGAGGCATGGGTTCAAGTCTCACCTCCTCCAAAGGTGTGTACTTTTTTTTATTTTTGTTCATGATCTTCAGTGGCAGAGCCATTACTTATTGCCTATTCCTAATGGACCTTGGAGAGATAGAGTGAGCTGTCTTTTTGCAACATTCGGCTCAGTGGTCAGCACTGCTACCTCACAGCGCTAGGGACCCGGGTACGATTCCACCTTCGGGCGACTGATTGTGTGGAGTTCGCACATTCTCCTTGTGTCTGCGTGGGTTTCCTCCGGGTGCTCCGGTTTCCTCCCACAGTCCAAAGATGTTCAGGCAAGGTGGACTAGCCATGGGAAATGCAGGCTTACAGGGATAGGATAGAGGAGTTGATCTGGGTGGGATGATCTTCAGAGGGTTGGTGTGGACTTGATGGGCTGAATTGTAAGGATTCTATGACTTGTAGTCCATTTGGTGTCAGGACACCTACAGCGCTGTTTGATCCCACAACACTGAAGAAACGGTGATACAGTTTCAGGCTAGAATGTTGTATGAGTTGGAGGGAACTTGTTGATGGTGGTGTTCGCATACATCTGCTGCCCTTTTCCTTCTACGTGGCAGTAGTCACAGGATTGGGGGTTTTTGTCAGAGGAGCTGTGGTGATCCCTGTAGTGCATTTTGTAGATAGTATGCAGTGCTACTACTATGCACGGTCATACAGTGAGTGAATATTTCAGACAACGGACATCTACTATCTAGATAAGGGGTAGTAGGAACTGCTGATGCTGGAGTCTGAGATAACAAGGTGTGGGGCTGGATGAACACAGCAGACCAGGCAGCATCAGAGGAGCAGGAAAGCTAACATTTCGGGTCTGGAGCCTTCTTCAGAAAGGGGGGAGGGGGAGGGGGCCCTGAAAAAAAAGGGGGGGGGGGGGCGGTGATAGAAGGTGGATAGTGGAGCAGACAGGTGGAGACAAGACGGAGAGGTCATGGAGGCGGGGATGAAGCTTGTAAAGGTGAGTGTAGGTAGGGAATTGGGATGGGGGTTGGTAAGTGAGGAGGGAGGAGCGGGCAGATGGCAGGGAAGACAGACAGGTCAAGGAGGCGGGGATGAGAGGAGGTGCTGGTCTTGGGATGAGGTCGGGGGTACGGAGATTTTGAAGCTTATAAAGTCCACATTGAGACCATTGTGTTATAGGCTTCCAAGGTGGAATAATGAGGTGCTGTTCCTCCAGTTTTTGGGTTGCATCGTTGTGACAGGATGGACATGTCGTCCAGGGAGTGGGAGGGGGAGTTGAAGTGGTTCGCGACTGGGAGGTGTTGTCATTTGTCGCGAACTGAGCAGTCTCTGAGCCTCCACTTGGTTTCCCCGATGTAGAGGAGGCCACATCGGGAAGAGCGGACACAATAGACCACATTAGCAGATGTGCAGGTGACTGTCTGCTAATGTGGAAGGTTTTCTTGGGGCCTGGGATGGAGGTGAGGGGGGAGGTGTAGGGGCAGGTGTTGCACCTCCTGTGGTTGCAGGGAAAGGTGCCAGGGGTGGTGGGGCTAGTGGGGAGTGTGGAGCGGACAAGGGAGTCGTGGAGAAAGCGGTCCCTCCAGAAGGCAGGTAAGTGTGGGGAAGGAAATATATCCTTCGTAGTGGGGTCAGATTGCAGGTGGCGGAAGATGATGCGTTGAATCCTGAGGCTGATGGGGTGATACGTGAGGACAAGGGGAATTCTTTGTTTTTATTGCGGGGAGGGGGTGTGAGGGCTGAGGTGAGGGAAACGCAAGAGATGCAGTCGAGGACATTTTCGACCACTGTTGGGGGGGAAACTGCGGTCCTCGAAAAACGAGGACGTCAGGGATGTCCGCAAGTGGATTGCCTCATCTTGGGAGCAGATGTGGCGGAAGCGGAGAAATTAGGAATAGGGGATCGCTTCCTTGCAGGAAGGTGGGTGAGAGGAGGTGTCTTCTAGAATAATATCTAGATAATATGTTTTAACCTAAGTCAAAGGTTCTAAATTTTGCCTATGACAGATAACAAAACAAAAAATACAGCCTTTCACAATCTTATAGAGTCATAGAGTTAAACAGCATAGAAACAGACCCTTCAGCCCAACTAGTCCATACAGACCATAATCCGAAACTAAACTAGTCCCACCTCCCTGCTCCTGGCCCATATCCCTCCAAACATTTCTTATTCATGTACTTATCCAAATGTCTTTTAAACATTGTAATTGTACCCATATCCACCACTTCTTCAGGAGGTGCATTCCACACGCGAACCATCCTCTGTGTTAAAAAATTTGCCTCTTGTTTTTAAAATCTCTCTCCTTTCACCTCAAAAATGCGTCCCCTAGTCTTAAATCCCCCACCGTAGGGAATTAACTCTACGTATACCTCCTATTATTTTATAAACTTCTGTAAGATTGCCTCTCAACCTCTGAAACTCCAGAGAAAAAAGTCCCAGCCTATCCAGCCTTTCTTTATAACTCAAATCTTCCACACCCGGCAACATCCTGATAAATCTCTTCTGGACCCTCTCCAGCTGAATAATATCCTTCAACAATTCAGAGTCAATTAAGTATTTCTAAATTATAATCAGGGTAGCAATGTACCTGTTGATGCATAGCAAGATTCTACAAATAACAATAAATAATCAGATGATCTGGATTTTCTTTCAGAGTTGAGAGATAAATATTGACCAGTAATGTTATTCTTCCCATAGTGTAAGTGGGCATTCAGATCCATCTGACAGGATAGACAGGGCACCAGAGTAATTCCTCATTTAAGTGCCAACATCTTCAGTGTTTCACTGAACTGGCAGGCTGTATTTTTGTCTCAAGTCTCTGGAGTGAAAAGATAGGTGATGGCATGTGGGTGCTGTCATTAATAATCCAGAAACTAAGGTGATGAGATAGTAGGAACTGCAGATGGATTTTTATGGCTTTTAACAATGGTTTCATGGTTATCGTTAGATTAGTAATTCCAGATTTTTTTTATTGGAGTCAGTGCCACTATCTGCCAAGGGCGTGAATTGTGTGCTGGTTCCCAGGACATCATCTTAGTTAACAGGGTGTAGAGCTGGATGAACACAGCAGGCCAAGCAGCATCAGAGGAGCAGGAAGGCTGACGTTTCGGGCCTAGACCCGTCTTCAGAAAATTTTCTGTGTTCATCCAGCTCTACATCCTGTTAACTAAGGTGATGTCCTGGGAACCAGCACACAATTCACGCCCTTGGCAGATAGTGGCACTGACTCCAATAAAAAAAATCTGGAATTACTAATCTAACGATAACCATGAAACCATTGTTAAAAGCCATAAAAATCCATCTGGGCCACTCATGTTTTTTAGGGTTCTTGTGATGCAGTGGTAGTGTCCATACCTCTGAGCCAGGAGGCATGGGATTGAATCCCACCTGCTCAGGTCTGAACAGGTTGATATGTAAAAAACCCTATATAATAAATGTAGTAAAAGAGCAGCAAAGTAATGAGTTCTGGAGCATAAAATCAAACCATACATCCTTCTCTGTCTCAAAAGGTGAACAGCCCAGGGTACGGGAGTCCAAACCTAGAGGGCATAGGTATAAGGTGAAATGGGAAAGATTTAACAGGAACCTGAAGGGGCAACTTTTTCACACAGAGGGTGGTGCGTATATGGAACTAGCTGCCAGAAGAAGTGGTAGAGGTGGGTTCAATTTCAACACTTAAAAGACATTTGGACGGGTACATGGATAGGAAAGGCTTAGAGGGATATGGCTTAAACACAGGCAAGTGGGACTAGTTCAGTTTAGGAAACCTGGTCAGCATGGATGAGTTGGGCCGAAGGGTCTGTTTTCCATGCTGTACAACTCTAAGTAAGAGTGCTACCAATTGAGCATAGATGTTAAACTATTGATATTTTGATGTTAAACTAGCTACAGGGAGCCTAAACTACACAGTCTAGCTTGACCTGTCCCCCCTTAAAAACGAATCAGTATTACATTGGCCATCCTCCAGTTCTCAGACAAACTGGCAGTCAACAGAGTCCTGAGATATAAATTTTTTTATGCTTTGACAATATCCTCCTAGCATGTAGCCAATTGGAAGCTGATCCTTAATCTTTTTTAATTCAAATAATTAATCTAAAATGCTTCTTTTATCTTTCTCATCTCACTCCAGAACTCACCTGGTTTCCAATATTCCTTTCTAAGATATCAATGTGCTGCTGCTACCCCTTGTTTACTTTGAAATATTACATGTTTTTTTTTCTATTGGAAATCCCAGAGGCCTGCTGTGCTTTGCCAGCATATAATGCTCTTAATTTTTTACAATGTTCAGGTGCACAATATAGTCTTGGAGCACTGCGCCTGTGTTAAGGTGGAGAACCCTGTATAAAATGGAAAATATTGTACTAAGCACTAAGGCTCTTTACAACATCTATTCTATGCTCACAGTAACCAACACTAAGAAAACAATGAGAGTGGGTGTTATGAGAAATAGTGCCTTGGCTCCGTGAGTCCAGTTCTCCCAAACACTGTTTAGGTTCGATACAAAACAGACTTTGCCCTGTGAATTTGGAGCTTACGTTCTCTTTTAAACAGAAAACAGAGCTATCCTGCTTTTCCTCCATAACTACCCTGCTAAGAAATCTGCTGGATTATGCATCTTTGACCAGTATGATTTCTGAGAATGCAGTTTCTTCAGCACATCGCTAACTTCCAAGACACACGGACATTCTCCACGTTTCCTCCGATAAAACAGAAATGTAATCTCTCAAAGGAGGAGGATAACCCGAGGCTATTCTGGTCATCAAAGATAAATGGGATAGTAACTTTGGGAATGAGAGGCGTATTTCCCTCTGATACAAGCAGTGATTCAACTGCAGCTGGAGAGGAGTTTAGAAACACAGAGATTAGGAACAGGAGTAGGTCATTCAGCCCTTCCAGTTTGCTCCGCCATTTAATATAATTATGGCTGATCATCCAATTCAGTCCCCTGTTCCTGATTCCTCCCCTTTCCTTTGATCGCTTTAGACCCAAGGACTAAATTTAACTCCTTCTTGAAAACATTTGATGTTTTGGCCTCAACCACTTTCTGCGGCAGAGAATTCCACAAGTTCACCATAGAGTGAAAGAGATGTACAACACAGAAACAGGCCTTTCAGTCTAACTCATCTATGCCAACCAGATATCCTAAATTGATCTAGTCCCATTTGCCAGCGTTTGGCTCATATCCTCTGAACCCTTCCTATTCATATACACATCCAGATGCCTTTTAAATGTTGTAATTGTACCACAACTTCCTCTGGCAGTTCATTCCATATGTGTGCCACCCGCTGTGTGAAAAGGTTGCCCCTGAGGTCCCTTTTAAATTTTTCCTCTCTCATCTTAATCCTATGCCCTCTAGTTTGGACTCCCCTACCCTGGGGAAAAGACCTTGGCAATTCACCTCTTCCACGTCCCTCATGATTTTCTATTAAGTCATCCCCTCATCCGCCAATGCTCCAGGGAAAATAGCCCCAGACTATTCAGCCTCTACCTGTAGCTGAAACCCTCCAACCCTGGCAACATCCTTGTAAATATTTTCTGCACCCTGTCAAGTTCAACAACATCTTTCCTATAGCAGGGAGATCAGAATTGAACACAGTATTCCAAAAGTGGCCTCAACCATGTCTTGTACAGCTGCAGCATGACTTCCCAACTCTTATACTCAATGCACTGACTAATAAAGGCAAGCATACCAAACACCTTCTTCACTACCCTGTCTACCTGCGACTCTGCATTCAATGACCTATGACCCTGCACCCCAAGGCTCTGGGTGAAGAAATTTCTCCTCATCTCAGTCCGAAATGGCCTTCTCCTTGGGCTGTGACAGTTCACATTTCGACCTAAACTTGAACAGTAGGTTAACTTTTACTCCATTACCCAGATTGGGGAAATGGTTGTGAAGTGGTGCTCTCACTGGACTAGTAACTGGGGACATGGGTTCAAACACCACTCTGATAGCTGTTATCACACAAGTAAGAACCCAGTCCTGACTTCCAACTAATGACATAACCATCGGGTCTATTTTTGTGCTTTGGCAAACTACCCCTTGCAGTTGAATAATTTGCTCAACTTTCATTTTCTGGACCTACACAAGGAATTTAGATTTATGTTTTGCCCCTTATTTTGGACTTCCTTTACCAGAGCAATTCATTTCTCTCTGTGTCAACCTGATCAAATTCTTTAATTGCTTTAAATTACAATGCACATAATCCTCTGCCAATCAATGAACAGGTAAAGTGCTGTGGGCTCTTGTGGTGCAGTGGTAGTATTCCTACCATTCAGCCAGGGATCTAAGATGAGGTCCCACCTGTTCCAAAGGTGTGTAATAACATCTCTGAGCAGATTGATTAGAAAATGCCTTTATAAGCAAGGCTAGAGAGCTGCTGTTCCTTTGAAATCAGAACCCAGCATACTTGGGAAAGGAGATTCTTTAGAAAAATTTTTATTTTAAAAGACAGACACAGAATCAGAAAGCAACCATCAAGCTTCGTCAGCAGAGAGGAAAAATATATTTGCCTGGGGCAGGCAGGAGGTGACACAGAGCATAGACTCAATAAAACGATACCAGAAAACAGGTCAAATTAATAGGACGACCTGCATCAATGACAAGCAAGGCTTTTATTCATTTGAGTAGCTGCCCAGAATTTGGCCAGAGCCAGCTATGCAGCTGCGAGGGCTTGCAGCAATTACAATATAGTGTGGTGCATGATCCAATAAAATCCTAAATCATATACCTAGAAGCCATACCTATGCATTCCTCTAGAGACTTGTCTATGACAGACTGGAAGATCTTTTCATACTGAATGTCACTGAGTGTTGAGATCGCCTGAAAAGATTAATCAAAAACAACACTTTAAAAAAAAATCACAAGGAAAAACTACAGGTAATTATTATCAAGCGGCTATGGAAAAATATGTAAAATAATTTTATGCAGTATGAGTTTAATATATACATAATAAACTATTATGTCTGCTTGTCTTCACAGAAATATGGGCTACGTATTCAAAGAGCATGTTATACAGTCAAACAGCACGGAAACAGACCCTTTGGTCCAACCAATCCATGCCAACCATAATCCAATACTAAACTAGTCCCACTTGCCTGCGCTTGGCCAATATCCCTCCAAACATTTTCTATTCATGTATTTATCCAAATGTTTTTTAAACAATGTAACTGGACCCACATCCACCACTTCCTCTGGAAGTTCATTCCACACACAAACTACTCTTATTGTAAAAAAAGTGCCCCTCATTTTTTTTTCAATCTTTCTCCTCTCACCTTAAAAATATGCCCCCTAGTCTTGAAATCCCCCACTGTAGGGAAAAGATACCTGCCATTCACCTTATCTATACCCCTCATGATTTTATAAACCTGTATAAGGTCACCCCACACCTCCTATGCTCCAGTGAAAAAAGTACCAGCCTATTCTTATAACTCAAACCCTCCATTCCCGGCAATATCCTGGTAAATCGTTTCTGAACTCTTTCCAACTTAATACTATCCTTCCTATAGCAGGGCAACCAGAACTTGACACAGTATTCCAGAAGAGGCCTCATCAATGTCCTGTATGTCATCCCAACTCCTTTACTCAAAAAATGTTAAAATAAAATTTAAAGGTATTCAATAAAAGTGTCTGTGCACCTTTTATTGCACTGCACAATCCCAAATTGCTTATTTTCTAATGTGAGGTTGTATAGACCTGAGTTCATAGGAAGGTTTCTCCCTGCCTCTACTTTCAAACAAATCACCCACGTTATCTACTTTGTTTCTTTTAACAATGATCTCCCACGTTCTCACGTCAAATTCACCCTTTCTTTTCTACACCTTTTCGAGTCATAGAGATATGCAGCACTGAAACAGACCCTTCGGTCCAACTCGACCATGCTGACCAGATATCCTAAATTAATCTAGTCCCATTTGCCAGTATTTGGCCCATATCCCTCTAAAGCTTTTCTATTCCTACGCTCATCCAAATGCCTTTCAAAGGCTGTAATTGTACCATCCTTCACCATTTCCCTTGGCAGCTCATTCCATACACACAATATCTGCTGCGTGAAAATGCTGCCCCTTAGGTCCCTTTTAATATCTTTCTCCTCTCACCTTAAACCCATGCCTTCTAGTTTTGGGCTCCCCCGCCCAGGGGAAAAGACCTTGCCTATTTACCCTATCCACGCCCCTCATGATTTTATAAACCTCAGTGAGATCACCCCTCAGCCTCTGACACTCCAGGGAATATAGCCCCAGTCTATTCAGCCTCTCCCTATAGTTCAAACCCTCCAACCCTGTTAACATCCTTGTAAATCTTTTCTGAACCCTTTATAGTTTCACAACATCCTTCCTAAAGCAGTGAGACTAGAATTGAATGCAGTATTCCAAAAGTGGCCTAACCAATATCCTGTACAGCCGCAACATGACATCCCAACTCCTATGCTCAACGCACTGACCAATAAAGGCAACCACTCCATTTATTGAAGAAGGGTCCCGACCCGAAACATTAACTTTCCTGCTCCTCTGATGCTGCCAGGCCTGCTGTGTTCCTCCAGCTCCATACTATGTTGTCTCTGACTCCAGCATCTGCAGTTCTTCCCATCTCTGAGTGATTATAACCATAGCAAACACCTTCTTCACTTGCTACCTACCTGCAATTCCACTTTCAAGGAACTATGAATCCGCACTCCAAGGTCTCTTTGTCCAGCAATACTCCCCAGGACCTTACCATTAAGTGTATAAATCCTGCCCTGATCTGCCTTTTCAAAAAGCAGCACCTCCCATTTATCTAAATTAAAATCCATCTGCCACTCCTCGGCCCATTGGCCCATCTGATCAAGATCCCGTTGTACTCTGAGGTAACCTTCTTCGCTGTCCTCTACACCTCCAATTTTATTGTCATGTGCAAACTAACTGTACCTCCTACATTCACATCAAAATCATTTATATAAATAACTAAGAAGCAGTGAATGCAGCACAGATCCTTGCAGCACACTGCTGGTCACAGGCCTCCAGTCTGAAAAGCAACCCTCCACCACCAGCCTCTATCTTCTACCTTTGAGCCAGTTCCGCATGCAAATAGCTAGTTCTCTCTCTATTCCACTTGATCTAACCTTGCTAACCAGTCTACCATGAGGGACCTTACTGAAGTCCACATAGATCACATCCACCGCTCTACCCTCACCAATCCTCTTTGTTACTTCTTCAAAAAGCTCAATCAAGTTAGTGAGACACTATTTCCCATGCACAAAGCCATGTTGACTATCCGTAATCAGTCGTTGCCTTTCCAAATACATGTAAATTCTGTCCCTGAGGACTCCCTCCCACAACTTGCCCACCACCGACATCACACTCACCAGTCTACAGTTCCCTGGCTTTTGCTTATCACCTTTCTTAAATAGTGGTACCACATTAGCCAACCTGCAGTCTTCCAGCACCTCATCTGTGGTTATCGATGATACAAACATCTTAGCAAGGGGCCCAGCAATCTCTTTCCTCGCTTCCCACAGAGTTCTAGGGTAACCTGATCAGGACCCAGAGAATTATCCACCCTTATGCACTTTAAGACGTCCAGCATCTCATCCTCTGTAATATGGACATTTTTCAAGAGGTCACTATTTACTTCCCCACGTTCTATAACTTCCATATCCTTCTCCACAGTAAACACTGATGCAAAATACTTGTTTAGTATCTCACCCATCTCCTGTGGTTCCACATGTCTTGCGGATCTATAAGGGGCCCTATTCTCTCCCCAGTTAACCTTAATGTATTTGTAGAATCCCTTTGGATTCTCCTTAACCCTATTTGCCAAAGCTGTTTCATGTCCCCTTTTTGTCCTCCTGATTTCCCTCCTGATTTAAGTATACTCCTACTGCCCTTATACTCTTCTTGGGATTTACTCAATCTCTGCTATACCTGACAATATGCTTCCGTCTTGTTCTTGACCAGAACCCCAATTTCACTAGTCATCCAGCATTCCCTACACCTACCACCCTTGCCCTTCACCCAAACAGGAACATACCATCTCTAGATTCTCATTATCTTATTTTGAAGGCTTCCCATTTTCCAGCCCTCCCTTTATCCGCAAACATCCGCCCCCAATCAACTTTTGAAAATTCTTGCCTAATACTGTCAAAATTGGCCTTCTTCCAGTTTAGAAATTTAACTTTTAGATTCTGTCTATCCTTTTCCATCACTATTTTAAAACTAATAGAATTATGGTTACTGGCCCCAAAGTGCTCCCCCACTGACACCTCAGTCACCTGCCTTGCCTTATTTCCCAATGCACTTTCTCCAGTAGGTACATCCACATACTCAATCAGAAAAATTTTTTGTGCGCACTTAACAAATTCCTCTCCATCCAAGCCCTTAAAACTCTATCTACGGTTGGAAAATTAAAATCCTCGATCATAACCACCCTACTATTCTCACAGATAACTGAAACCTCTTTTCAAATTTGTTTCTCAATTTCCTACTGACTATAGGGGGTCTATAGTACAATCCCAATAAGGTGATCAGCCCTTTCTTATTTCTTCGTTCCACCCAAATAACTTCCCTGGGCATATTCTCAGGAATATCCTCCCTAAGGACAACGGTAATCAGTTTTCTTTTTAATGTCAAACCTCCTAAATTACCTTGCTTACACTTTAAAATATTTAATCAGACTAGTCTTGCCAACCCCCCCAGAATGTCATGGAGCCACCAAGAATTAACTATTAATCTCCCAGTCATTTGTGCAGGCAATGCTAATAGATAAATCATTGTTGCGTTAAAAAGTAAATGCCAGAGAAAAGAAGGAAAAGACTGCTTGACTGACAGTCAAGAATCATCCAATTCAATATCAGTCTATTTTGTTTTCCTATTGGTGTGAGAAAAAATTTTTTTTGAGGGAATGGCATGTCAGGAAAGCAACAGCAGGAATGTAGAGTAGTTGGATGCAGGGCATTCTGGCATGAATACATCCAACCAGAGTTGCCAACTGTAAACAAACAAAAACAAAAATTGCCAGGGAAACTCAGCAGGTCTGGCAGCACCTGTGGAGAGAAAACAAGAGTTAACATTTCAAGTCCAGTAACCCTTCTTCAGAATCATTGGCAACTACAACCCTGAAAAGCACAGCCGGTCAGACAGCATCCGAGGAGCAGGAAAGTCAACGCTTCAGGCCGAAACCCTTCGTCAGTCCTGACTGTTCCAGCTCTACATTTATTGTGTCTAGCTTCCAGCATCTGCAGTCCTTACTGTCTCCACAACCCTGGAATAGACCACTACATCTGTGTCCTGTGGTGGAGTTATGCATGATTAGTGGTAAAGTATTTTTATGATTCACATGTAGCCCAAATGGGTTCCTGTCTCCATTAAGAGAGGAACACACCTAAAGCAATCGCCAAAAGAGACAAAAGCAATACGGGAAATAGCTACTTCATGTGGACAGTAGTTTGGGTTTTGAATGTGCTGCCTTGATGAGTAGTAGAGGTGGGTTCAATCAATGCATGTTATTTTTAAAAACAAACAATGTGCAGGGTTGCAGGGAGTAGGCAGGAGAATGGTATTAAGTGAAACGTTCATTAGGAGAGCTAGAGCAGATACAATAGGCTGAATGGCTCCTTCAGCACTGTAGGAATTCTGAGAGAGCAGACATGGGGAAATTCAATAGGATTCATTGATTGACCGTCAAGAATAATCAAACTGAATATCAGGGATAGGGTCAGAGTTAGGGTTAGGGTTAAACATTCACACATAAGTACGAGTGAGTGCAAGGTCTTCTCTTTGCCCATACCCACCTATTTAGTGCTGTACCTATTTTTGTACTCTGACCATCAGAGATTTCAGCATTTCTTTTATCTAACCATTCCACAAATTATGATTATATTTAAACAGTAAGTTAAAACTCTGACATACATAATCCAGAGTCTTATGGAAACATCTATATTTATCTCAATGTATCTTTAATCTACCAGTTATGCAAGTGATTTATTTCAGAACTGCACCTTATTTGTTTTAGTCATGCCTCCAACACATTTGGCTTTGCGTTTAGCCTTGTCTTCATCGCTGACGTTTTCCGGTTTTGTAATGTAGCCTTCGTCGACGTTTGCCTTGGCCTGTCTCTTTTCTAACACAGCTTTCTTTTTCTTCAGTGTAAAGCTTTTTTGGCCCTTCTTTTCTATATCTGGATACGTTCCTTCCGTGCTATCCCCGTTCTGTCCCTCACTTCCAGCAGAGGAGTTCTCACACAGCACCTCCTTCCTTTTCTTCAGTTTCGTGATGCTGTCCTTTGCTCCAGGAGCAACAAAGCTCACGCCTCTCTTTGTATTCTTCTCAAAACCTGAACATTTAAAGATCTTTTTGTGACAAGGTAATTTACTTCGTTGTGTTTTTTTTAATAGTTCTGCACACCGCACAACAGGAACACACAGTAGAATCATTCAGTAGAGGCCCTTCGGCCCATCAAAACTTAACCAACAAAAAATTGCTCTAAATCTACACTAGTCCCACTTTCCAGCATTTGGCCCATAGCTTTGAATGTTATGACATTTCAAGTGCTCCTTCCTTAAGGTTACAAGGTTTCCCACCTCAACTACCCTCCCAGGCACCGGATTCCAAATTTTCACATGCCTCTGGGTAAAAAATGTTTTCTTCAAGTCCCCTCTAAGCCACCTACCGTTCATCTTAAAATTAGGCCCCCTCGTTATTGACCCTGCAACTAAAGGTGAGAGGAAAAAGACTTTAAAAAGACATGAGGGCAATTTTTTTACACAGAGAGTGGTTTGTGTGTGGAATGAACATACAGAGTAAGTGGTGGATGCGTATACAGTTACAACATTTAAAAGACATTTAAGTACAGCACATGAATAAGAAATGTTTGGAGGGATGTGGGCCAAGTGGTGGTAGGTGGGACCAGTTTAGTTTGGGATTATGGTCAGCATGGACTGGTTGGACTGAAGGGTCTGTTTCCGTGCTGTATGACTCTATAACTGCTTTGTATCCACCTTGTCCATGCCCTTCGTAATCATACATGTCTCAATCCGGTCCCCCCTCAGACTTCCCTGCTGTAAAGAAAACAGCCCAAGCTGTTCCAGCCTCTTTTCATAGCTAAATTGCTCCATCCCCAGCAATATCCTGGTGAATCTCCTCTGCGCCCCCTCCAGTGCAAATACATCCTTCCTATAGTGCGGTGACCAGAACTCCACGCAGTACTCTAGCTGTGGCCTAACCAAAGTTTTGCACTGCTCCAATGTAACCTCCCCGTTTTTATAACCTATGCCACGTCTGATAGAGGCAAGTGTCCCGTATGCCTTCTTAATTACTCTATTAACTTGTCCTGCTGCTTTCAGAGATTTACCCATGGATCAACAGCTCACATGCTAGGCTCAGAATAGGTCCCACTACATGTGTAATGGTGCCCCCCATATACAAAGTGCTTCTATAAAAGGGAAGAAGACTTGAAGAGAAAGGACTGAGATGGGAGGGGTGGTTTGCACAATGTAAAAGGAGACCATTATTCAATGTCACTGACTTCAGAATGTTAGGCTTTGTGTATAACATGTGACCAACACTATATCATCCATCTTGCACTACCAGACAAGACAAACATCCGTCCCCATTTCTGTTCAGACTTGTTAATAAACTAATTTTAATTAATAAACTAATAAAGCAGCAGTTTTTATATTAAGTAACACAATAAGCCATTGGATTTTTAAGGACCAGTTTAACAAGAACCTATTGAAAACTGCAATAAAGAAAACATAATTGATATTGCAATTCATTACAAAATTAATATTTCCTGTTTCTTTTGTTCCTTGATTTAAGGTGAATAACAAAAGAAGCATCGGTGGCACGAAACATCATTTTATGTAGCAAACCGTTAAGATTTGGAATGCACCGTTGGCAGTAGTGGAAGCAAATTGTCATGACTTTCCAAAGGAAATTATGCAGGGCTACAACAGAAAGGTGAGGAAGTGGGATTAGTTGCTTCAGGGTCAGGTTGAATGGCCTCTTTCAGTGCTTTAGCTATTCTGCGATTTTTAAGAACATGGGACCAGCATCCAAATGGTCAGACAGCTTGGTGTATCTCTTAATGTGATTCTTACTGAAGATACAAACCAAGAAGCTTGGTTCATGGCATGTGGCACGTTAGCTGACCATAGCCAGCCAGCATAGCAATCCAGGAGCTAGTGTTAGTTAGTCTCAGCGCTGGCAGATAAGAAATAAAATCAACTAGGATTCTGGTAAAAACCAAAAGAACTGCGGATGCTGTAAATCAGGAACAAAAACAAAGTTGCTGGAAAAGCTCAGCAGGTCTGGCAGCATCTGTGGAGGAGAAAAGAGAGTTAACGTTTCGGGTCCGGTGACCCTTCCTCAGAACTCATAGTTCTCATACAGAACTCATATAACTCAGAACTGATAGTTAGTCGCAACCCAGCATTTTGTGAAGATGGTGAATAAGGAATGGATATTCATAACTGCGTCCTAAAATGGCTGAGCAAGCCACATAGATCAAAGTGCAATCAGGGAGTGGAATCACCTTGGCAGAAACACCCAGATCCCTTGAAAGAAAAAAGCACACTGGCTGATAACAGCTACAGTGAACAGGAGCCGTCTTGTCTGCTACACAGGGGCTCTACTTTTAACCACTAAGGCATCAAAACAGAAAGTACTGCTTCTAACGACGTAACTTTTCCTCACCGCTTTTCTTCAGCACATACAGCATAAGCTGCAGACGACAGTAACCCTTAAGGAGATAATGTAATTTTAGTCCTACCATCAGCGACACTTTCCATCATAGAGTCATACAGCATGGAAACAGACTCTTTGATCCAACTCGTCCATGCCGACCAGGTTTCCCAAATTGACCTTGTCCCATTTGGCCCAGTTCTCTCTAAATCTCTCCTGTTCATGTACTTGTGCAAATGTCTTTTAAATGTTGTAACTGGACCCACCTCTACCACTTCCTCTGGCAGCTCATTCCATACACGCACAACCCTGTATGAAAATGTTGCCCATCAGGTCCCTTTTAAATCTTTCCCCTCTCAGCCTAAACCTACACCCTCTGATTTTTGGACACCCCCTCTCTGGGGAAAAGACCTTAGCTATTCACCTTATCTATGCTCCTCATGATTTTATAAACTTCTGTAAAGGTCAACCCTCAGCCTAATACACTCAAAGTCCCAGCCTCTCTCTATAGATCAAATCCTCCATTCCTGGCAACATCCTCGTAAATTTTTTCTGCCCCCTTTTCAGTTTAACAACATTCTTCTGTAGCAGACTGAAGAACCACAGACTGGATGTTCAGGGCTACCCAATACCCCCATACCCCAACACAGATGTGTACAACATGTAGCAAGGGAGGTGATGAAGCAGTGGTGTTGTCACTGGAATGGTGTTAGTTCAAATCCTACCATGGCAGCTGGTGGAATTTAAATTCAATAGATCTAGAATTAAAAACAAATCTAATATCGAATGTTGTAAAAACTCATTGGGTTTATTAATGCTCCTTTAAGGAGGGAAATCTGCTGTCCTTGTCTGGTCTGACCTACATATACAGACTGACAGGAGACCTAATGGAAGTCTATAAAATTATGAGAAGCATAGACAGAGTGGACAGTCAGAGTCTTTTTCCCAGAGTTGAAATGTCCAATACTAGGGGGCATATTTAAGCTAAGAGGGGGAAAGTTCAAAGGAAATGTGAGGGGCAAGCATTTTACAGAATAGTAGGTGCCTAGAACACCCAGCCAGGGGTAATGGTGGAGGCAGATAAGATAGGCGTATTTAAGGGCCTTTTAGATAAGCAAATGAATAAGCAAGGAATGGAGGGATATGGACCAAAGGCAGGCAGAAGGGATTAGTTTAATCTGGCATAATGTTCAGCACAACATCGTGGGCCAAAAGGCCTGTTCCTGTGCTGTACTGTTCTATGTTCTATATGCTCTGTGACTCCAGACCCACAGCAATATGGCTGACTCCTAACTGCCCTCTGAAATGGCCACAATTCAACGGCAACAAGTCCTCACTTGTGAGATTCACACACAAGAATTGTTTAAAAGGCCACCACAGCCTCAGTGATGTGAATGGCCACTGGAAGGGGAATATCAGGTCACCTATCAGGCTTAGGGGTTTACCAAAAGCAGGGAAGGAAAGGATATTCAAAAACAAGGCATGTAAAATCACGCGTAAAAGCAAATATCCTTAAAATCGTGCTGTGCAAAACTTTCAGCTGCAATTTCTCAGTCCCTTATTTCAAATGAAGCTTTAACTAAGAGGTCACTGTCACTCCACTGAATGCCAGTAAAATCATTTTAATGCAATCATGGAAATCTCCACACAGTGTGAGTCATAAGGTCATTCAGCATGGAAACAGACCCTTCCGTCCAACTTGTCCATGCCAACCAAAAATCCTAAACTGATCTAGTCCCATTTGCCAGCATTTGGCCCATATCCCTTCTTATTCATATACCCATCCAGATGCCTTTTAAATGTTGTAATTGTACCCGCCTCCACCATTTCCTCCGGCAGCTCGTTCCATACAACAGATGAGGTGATGGCCTAGTGGTATTATCACTGGACTGTTAATCCAGAGACCCAGATAATGTTCTGGTGACCCAGGTTCGAATCTGACCATGGCAGATGGTGGAATCTGAGTTCAATAAATATCTGGAATTAAGGATCTAATCGATTTTCAATTGTTGGAAAAACCCCTCTGGCTCCCTAAGTCCTTTAAGGAAGGAAATTGGCCATCCTTATCTGGTCTGGCCTACATGCAACTCCAGACCCACAGAGTGTGGTTGACTCTTAACTCCCTCTGGGCAATTAGGGATGGGCAATAAATGCTGCTTGGCAGCAATGCCCTCGTCCTGTGAATGAAGGAATAAGCCTTCTGTGTGAAAATGTTGCCCCTCTGGTCCCTTTTAAATCTTACCCCTCTCACCTTGATTTGATTTCATTTATTATTGTCACATGTATCTAAGTACAGTGAAAAGTTTAGTTTTGCATGCAGTGCTGGCAGATCATAACATACTAAGACACAAAGATCATAGGGTAATTGAACAGAACGAGGAATACAAAGTTATGGCTGCAAAGAAGGTGTACAAAAATCAGCATCAAGATTGGATTTGAAATTTGAGAGGTCCTTAATCCTATGCCCTCTAGTTTTGGACTCCCCTATCCTGGGAAAAAGACCTTGGCTATTCACACTGTCAATGCCCCTTATGATTTTATAAACCTCTATAAGTTCACCCCTCAGCCTCCAACACTCCAGTGAAAAAAAACCTCAGTCTATTCAGCCTCTCCCTATAATTCAAACCCTCCAATTCAAGCAACATCCTTGTAAATCTTTTCTGAATCCTTTCAAGTTTAACAACACCTTTCCTACAGCAGGGAGACCAGAACTGAACACAGTATTCTAAAAGCGGCCTCATCAATGTCCCGTACAGCCACAACATCACGTCCCAACTCCTATACTCAATGCACTGACGAAGGAAGGCAAGTGTGCAAAACGCCTTCTTCACCACTCTGTCTACCTGAGGTTATACCTGAAAACTGTTACATGCCAAAGGTACACTGAGGCATAGTTCTTGTGAAAATATTTGGAGAAAAGTTGCTTTTATCCAACAATTATAGAAATGAGTGCCACCTCTGACCTAGCTACGTATAACCTACCATTGCTTGTCGCAGACACCTCAAATGCACCAGGATTATCAGCACAGCACAGTTTCCTCAGCTCTAGAAAAGTCAAGTACACAAAACAGAAATCAATTTAAAACATTTTTCATTTCGAAGGTGCATTACCTTATTGAATACCGTGGTGCAGCCACAGAACTGGTGTGGAAACATTTAATTTCAAGCCTACTGCCAATTATTATTAGATACAGTAATGTGAGTACATACACATTTTATTTGCTTGCAATTGATTTTCTACACAAATAGCAGTCAAAATAAATGTTTTGCAGATTTCTGAACAGTGACAGCTTTCTGAACACATCATATCCACAAACATTCAATCCCTCTACCGCCAACGCTCAGTAGCAACAATGTGTATCATCTACAAGCTGCACTGCAGAAATTCACCATGGCTCATTGGGCAGCACCTCCTGAACTGCTTACGACTAACATCCACAGTGACGACGGCAGCAGATATATGGGAAAACCACTGCTGCAAGTTCCCCTCCGAGCCACTCACCATCCTGATGAGGAAATATATCACCACTCCTTCAGTGTCACTGGGTCAAAATCCTGGAACTCCCTCCCGAAGTTCATTGTGGATGTCCCCACACAAAATGGGCTGCAGCAACTCAAGAAGTCAGCTCACCAGCACCTTCTCAAGAGTAGGTGAGATATGGGCAATAAATGCTGACCCAGCCAATGACACCTATTCCCCATGAATGAAAAAAAAATGCAACATACGACCTTTCTGTGAAAAAAATTATTCCTGGGATGAAGGGCTTATCTAACGTAGAAAGATTAGGCCTATACCCACTGGAGTTTAGAAAAATGAGAAATATTTTTATACTACTGAAACATGGAAGAGCTTGAGGGAACCTGATAGTGTAAACACCAGGAGAATGTTTCCTCTTACGGAGAGAGACTAGAGCCAGGGCCACAGATTAAAAATAAGAGGAAACTGTTCTGAGGAAGGATCACTGGATCTGAAACATTTATTCTGATTTCTCTCCACAGATGCTGCCAGACCTGCTGGGCTTTACCAGCAATTTCTCTTTTTCTTAAGAATACGTCTCCCTTTTAAGTCAGAGATAAGAAGAACATTTTTCCCAGAGGGTCATCAGTATGTGGAATTCTTTTCTACAGGGAGCAGGGAAACCTGAATCATCAAATTAATTCAAAACTGAGTTAGACAACTTTTTTTGACAAACTGGGGAATCAATAGTTATGGGGGCAGACAGGAAGGTGGAGTTGAGATGACAACCAGATCAGCCACAATCGTTTTTAATGAGGAAACAGGCTCAAAGGGCCAAATGGCTCCACTCCTAGGTCTAATGCTCCCATACACCAGAGGAAGTCGTTAGTGGCCGGAGTAACTGCCTGAATAAAGGACATGAACAAACCATCTAAATATTATGTATATTTAGCGTCAGGCTTTAGACAATATGATTGCAGGCGATTTTAGTAAGAGATGATCCCCCGGTGCTAAATATTTCACTTCCTTAGTCTTGCAACTACAGCAATAATAGGGAGATTTATATAATTGCTAACTAAGTCATTACAGACAATCTCACGTTAACTACTGAAAGCTGAGCAGGTTGATTTTCCAGTCACAGTCATCCTCTTTCAGGAGAAATTAGGCCTGTTCCTTCCACCCCTTTTATTCTTCTATTGGTATGACCGGTTTGGCAACAGTAATTCCTGACTGGTGCAGTTCTCACTCCTGACAGAAAAAGCAAAAATCAGAGCGTGTGTACCTTACAGCACTCTTTGTAAAACTCCTGAAGCCCTTATTAGGCTTGTCTCCGGTAAAAAGAGAGGGTGCTTGGCTCATCTTTCTGCAGCAGAAATATAGGGACCTTAGAATTAGCATGGAAACACCACCACTTCCAATCTCCCCACCAAGCCACTCACCATCCCGGCTTGGAACTACATCCGCTGTTTCTTCAGTGTCGCCGAGTGAAAATCCTGGAACTCACTCCTTAACAGCACTGTGGGCATCCCTACACCACACAGACTACAGCAGACAAAGATGGCGGCTCATCCCCACCTTCTTGGTGTCAATTAAGGGTGGGCAACAAATGGGGGCCCAGCCAGCAACACCCATCCCATCCCCTCAAAGACTAAAGAATAGTTATGGCCTCTAAAGTGACACAGAGTGACCCCATGTGAACTCCCTAAGAGAGAAAATGTGATGCAGAGCAAAGATAATTCAAAGAGAGGGAGGAAAGTATCAACCCACAATCCAAAGATGTACAGGTTAAGTGGATTGGCCATGCTATATTGCCCATAGTGTCCAGGGGTGTGCTGGCCAGGTGGATTAGCCATGGAAATGGTTACAGGGATAAGGTGGAGGTCTGGTCTGGGTGGGATGCTCTTCAGAGGGTTGGTGTGGACTTGATGGGACAAATGGCCTGCTTCTACACTGTAGGGATTCTTTGGTTCTATGAAAGGAGAGAGAACTGAGCAGGGAAATTGCTGGAAAGACGAGTGTTTTTTGCTGCGAGGAGAATCAAGTCCATTACATTGAGTGGAAGTGATTTGGATTCCCTTCACTTTTGAGGAGTGCTTTACAATGGACATACTTATTGTGTCTGTTGTGTCAGCCTAGCTGCCCTGACGATGCATTGGAGGTGGGTCAGAGGAGGTTTACTAGATTGATATCTTGAATGAGTGGGTTATCTCATGAAGGAAAGTTGGACATGGCTGGGCTAGTTTCCACTGGAATTGAGAAGGGCAAGGGGAGATTTGATTAAAGAACATGAGGTCCTGAATGGCTTTGACAAGATGGGAATGAAGGAATATTTCCTCTTGTGGTTCAGTCCAGAACTAGAGAAGCAGGGAGGGGCACTGTTTTCAAATTAGGGGACACCCTGTTAGAACAGAGGTCTTATATCTCAGCAGGTTCTGCGGCTTTGGAATTCTGCCTCAGAAGGTGGTTGTCAGCCTCTCTGCATCTACTCCATCAAGTCTCCCTTGAACCTGTTATGATTCAATAAGTTTGCCTCTCATTTTTCTGAAGCAATCCATACATACTAGCACACAACCCACAGACTAGATGCAAAGTTTAGCACTTTCAAGAATTCTCACCCTAACTCTGGTGATGAGAGTTGGAAACCAGATCTGGGCTTTACCTTTTTGTTGATAGCTTTGATTAATTTTAAGTTACTATTTCTTCTCAATGCTCTAGCTACCTTGGAATTTTTTAAAACCATTTTTGTTTACATGACCATGTAATGTATGAGGTTTTAATGTACAAAATTAACACTAATTAGCACAACCACACCTTCAAAATCTTTCATGGTCCTCTCTCTAAACGTCAGCTCTCTGAGGAGTTTGACTTGGTTCATGTGAAGTTTTCAACTTTCTGTTAAACACTATCTCCTTTTCTGCACACTTGTCCCTGCAGATAAAGAACGAGAATCTAAATTAACATCCTTCATTTAGCATTATTTTCTCATACACTATTCAAAACTATTTCAATGACTCCCGAGTTCCTGATTTGAAAATGACAATGTTGTTCTTCCTTTTGTCCACACTTTCCTACTTGTTTTGTCTTTCCAACTCCATTTTGTATTTCAGTCTCTCAGTTTCCTTTCTTACTCAGACATCTCATAAAAGAAACTTGTTTTTATGTCAGGCCTTTAAGATAGTAATGCTTCATGGGAGTATGATCAGAATTTTATAGTGAGTCACATTAGAACAGGTGAGGCAAGTTTTAGGGACAAGGGAATCATAGAGGTTGACAGCACAGAAAAAGGCTCTTCGGCCCATCGAGTCTGCACCAGTCAAAAACAACCACCTAACTATACTAATCTCATTTTCCAGCACTTGGCCCATAGCCACCGTAAGTGTACATTAAACAGTTCTGAAATGTGATGAGAGTTTCTGCCGTTACCACTCATACAGGCAGTGAGTTCCAAAATTTCACCACCCTCTGGGTGAAAAAATATTTCCTCACATTCCCCACTAAACCTTCTGCCCTTACCTTAAATCTATGCCCCTGATCATTGATTCCTTCACCAAGGAGGAAGGTTGCTTCCTGTCTACAATGTCTACAAGGGACAACATCACACAGGGTGTGGTCAGAGGCCAAATTTTGGGGGTGGTGTGTAGTCAGCAATCTCATGGTTAGATCAAGGTCTGGTGCTAAGGTGAATGGCAGGGGGGGGGAGCAGGGAAGGTCACAGCAAATGTCCAGTCATGGAGTCTCCAAGACCTGAAAGCATACCTCCTGAATATACCGAGCCCTCACATCCAGGAAGCTGCCAGGCTAACCAGCACTCGGGAAATATTGCCATTTATTTTACAGCACGTAAATAATATCTGTACATCACAAAGCCATGCAACTTCATTGTCTTTAACCAAGTTGCAACACTCCTCCTTGGATTGCACTTCACCAGCTAACCTCAGTTAAAGACAGCAATCGGACAGCTGATGGCAGTTCTGGATCAGCAGACACCTTTTTCCGAATTTTAAACTCCCCACCCTTCCACCTGAAACAAATCTGCCACTCCTTTAGGTCAAGGTTCAGCCCATCCCTTCTGCACATCCTCTGGCCAAAATATCCAGCTTACAATAAGAACCATAGAATCCCTGCAGTGTGGAAGCAGGCTATTCAGCCCATTGAGTCCACACTGACCCTCCAAACAGCATCACACCCAGATCCATCCCCCTACTCATTCCCTGTAACCCTGCATTTCCCACGGTTAATCCACTTAGCCAGCACATCCCTGGACACTATGGGCAATTTAGCATTGCCAATCTACCTAACATGCACATCTCTGAACTGTGAGGGGAAACCAGAGCACCCAGAGGAAACCCACGCAGACACGGAGAGAACATGCAAACTCCACCCAGACAGTCACCTGAGGGTGCAATCGAACCTGGTCCCTAATGCTGTGAGGCAGCAGTGCTAAACAGAGCCACAGTGCCGCCCACAATTAATTGATCTGATGTAATCCTAAATATTAATTACTTGATTTTATACATGAGCTGCTTTGCCATGACATTTTTGAAGGGGAGGTTATAAATCAGTGAAGTTTATAAAGCACAGGGAAATGTTTCAATGATTGATATGTATTAAATGGTATACTTGGTTTCTTACAGGTGTTTTAGGTTTCTGCTTTCATTACTGTACCCATTAATCTGTGAGAACCCATAAATGAGTGACCTTTATTTTACACAGATTCCTTTACTGTAAATTTAATATTGCATTTCTTCTCGCAGGATTGAGATAAATATCTTCGCACGTTTGCTCAGTTTTGCTGCTGTGCGTGTGGCAGATCCGAACACCTCCCTCCAGCCCTCGTCGCAGCCTCACATGAACAATAAGACCACCTCTTCCCCCTCAACCACTCCATAGCCACTCCCACTCCACCACCAAGTTCCTGCTAGGTTGAAATCGTGACATCTAATCTTTGAAAAGTTGGGAGGTACAGCTGAGGCTGTCCAATTGGCCTGACAGAGCCAAACAGAACTGTGCTACTGTAGCTTAGGCACACTGTCTACACACAGACTGCAGAACCTCCTTTTAGCTGCTAGACCATAATAAATATTGCCCAACCTTAAGCTTCCGCGACAGGCTGAGCTCTTTAAGGAAGATTTTCCCGATACAAACACTGGGATGTTTCTTTGGGGCTTTTCCATTATAAATACCGACCTAAGGTTTGTGGGTTGAACATGTATACATAGTACAGAGTTTCTCAACTGTTAGTTATAATACTGCATTATTCCTAAATATTTATGACTAGATAATTCAATATAATTTCCTGAATATTAAATTGTGTCTGTTGATGAGATATTTACAGATCACATTAACACAAAGTACTGTAGTGTCAAATAGTTACAGTGTGGAATCAAAGGTTTCCTCTTAACCAATTTCCTCATTCCCCTCTCTCCCTAAAATGTTGACAGTTCCACAATAGCCAGTCAACTTCCCACAGTGGCAAAAATACACGGATCAGTGTCATTCCCACAATAGTCAGGAAGCTTGAGACTACCCCGGACAAAGCATCCTACTTGGCTGATACCATATCCAGTCCCTCCATCTCCAACACTCTGTAGCAGCAGTGTGTGCCATCTACAAAATACGCTGCAGAAATTCATCAAGGCTCCTTCCTAAGCACTTTCCAAATTAGTGATCCCTACCAACTAGAAGGACAAGGGCAGCACATACACAGAACACCAGCCCCAGCAAGTACCCATCTGAGCCACACACCATCCGGACTTGGAAACATAGCGCTGTTCCTTCAGTGTCGCTGTACCAGTATCCTGGAACTACCTCCCTAACAGCACTGTGGGTGCACCTACACCACATGGACTGCAGTGGTTTGAGAGGGTGGCTCACCACCACCTTCTCAAGGGCAATTAAAGATGGGGCAAAAAATGCTGGGCTTGATAACAATGATCTCATCCTATAAACAAATAAACATACATTCACAGATGAGTTGTGAAATTAATTCATGTCGAGCCTTATTGTAGACAATACTTAAATTTACACCTGTACACTTCCAACAATTTTGTCAGAAAAGGATCAGGATTGATTAAATTTCTTGGCTGAAATCCCAAAGACAAATTGTTAATGCCTATCCTGCTACCAGTACAGCTCTATGAAGTTATACCCCTCGGTGTGAAAAACAGAAAGGAACAGCATTCTTTCAATGATGATATATTGGGAAATGTGGACATATAAAGGGATCTGGGGGTCCTTGCACACCAGTCAGTGAAAGGAGAAATGCAAGGTGCAGCAAGCTATTTTATGAAGGCACGTGGCCTTCATTGCAACAGGGTTTGAGTTCAGAAGTAGGGACATCTTGCAGCAGTTATGCAAGGCCTTGGTGAGACCACACCTGGAGTGTTGTATGTCTTTTTGGTCTCCCTACCAAAGGATATACTTAACTTTGAAGGAGTGCAGCGGAGATTCAGTAGGCTTCTACTGGGGATAGCAGGACTGTCTTATGAGGACTGATTAGTTCCAGTATATTCACTAGAGTTTAGAAAGACAAGAGGGGATCTGATTGAAACTTAAAATTCTAACAGGTTCTACTGACTAGATCCAGGGAGAATGTTCCTTCGGTTCACAAGTTGTTGAACCAGAGGACACTGTCTCAGGATAATGGATACGCCATTTAGGACGAGGATAAGGAAAAATACTCCATTGAAAGGGTAGTGAACCCCTGGAATTTGCTCCACAGAAGACTGTGAAGGCCAAGTCACTAATATAATCAACAAAGAGATCAATACATTATTAGATATTAAAGGCATCAAAGGGTCTGAGAAAAAATTTGGGAATTTGGCATTGAGATAGAGTATCAGCCATGATCATATCAAATGTCAGAACAAACTCAAGGGCCAAATGGCTTACTAGTGCATCTAGTTTTTACACTAGGTGGTCAGCAACAGCTTTCATTTATATCATTTCTTTAGCATACCAAATTGACCCACGATACTTCACTGGAGTGTAGATGCAAGGAGGTATGTGAAGAAGTGACCAGAAGCTTGGTCAAAGGTATAGGTTTTAAGCAGCATCTTAAAGGATAAAGATAGAATTCCAAAGCTCACGGTCAACACAACTGAAGACATTTCCATCATCAGTGGGTCTGGCAGAAGAAATGAAATGAAGCACCTGTGGTCTGGGCCTCTCATCTACTCAGAGCCACTAGGAAAGCAGGATGACAATCCCACTTAACCTGAGTTCCTGATCTCAGCACACTGTGCTGACATGAGGGTCTGAATCAATTGTGGCAGAAACAGAAAATGTGCTGCTTTTAACTTCAAGCCTTGGGACAAAGCATTTCTTCACCGGAGAGGAAACTAGAACATTGAGTTATAAAGAAAGGCTGGATAGCTGGGATATTTTTCACTGGAGCATTGAGGGTTGAGAGGTGACCTTATAGAGGTTTATAAAATCATGATGGGTAAAAATAGGATTAATGGTTGGTGTCTTTTCCCTAAGATGGGAGATTTCAGGACTAGGGAGCATATTTTTAAGGTGAGAGGAGAGAGCTTTAAAAAAGACACAAGGGGCACTTTTGTTTATGCAGAGGGTGGTGTGTGTGTGGAATGAACTTCCTGAGGAAGTTGTGGATGTGGGCACAGTTACAACATTTAAAAGACACTTAGGTCAGTACATGAATAGGAAGCATTTGGAGGACCAAGTGCAGGCAGGTTGACTAGTGTAGTTTGGGATTATGTTTGGCATGGGCTGGTTGGACCGAAGGGTCTGTTTCCATGCTGTATGCCTCTATGAGAATTTATAACAAACTACAGTCCTTCAATAACTCACTCAATCAGAGAAAGCACTGTAGCACATTACCTCCCACCCTCTCATCTGCAGAAACCACTGCAACTGGGAGAAAATTGAAGGATTTGGATTGTCATGAAAATTAAAACAAATAAATTTTTACAACAATGTTATTTACTCAATTGGTTTTCACTGAGACACTTGTTATACCACACTGCCGACCTTGAATGATTGTTACAGTTTAAGTATGGTAATTACTGCTAGCTGCAGACATCATTAAGTGGAGTCATCATCAGTGAGGTACCTGAGAATGGATCGTGTGGAAAAGGGTATGGCAAAGTTGAATACTTAATTGAGGGAGTTAGTGCTGGAGTTTAGGGTTCAACCCAATATACTGCAGTCTCCATTGCAATAATAACTAAACATTATCCAAAATGCTATGATGATTTCTCCTGCTTAGTACAGTGTACAGTCTAAGCTCTTCCTGAGATATTTATCATACTATGCGCTATAATGCAATGATAGTTGTTCCTGCCAATAACCACCCAAATATTAAAGTAATTCCAAAGTACAGACAATAATGTAACAGAGCTGAAGTACTACATACATTCTGGTTGGCCCTGCTACAGGAAGGATGTTATTAAAGTGGAAAGGATACTAAAAAGATTTACAAGGATATTATCCAGTCTGGAAGGTTTGAGTTATAAGGAGACGCTGGACAGGCTGGGAATTTTTTTCATGGAACATCAGAAGCTGAGGAGTGACCTTATAGAGGTTTATAAAATCATGTGGGACATGGATAAGGTGATTAGCCAAGGTCTTTTCCCCGGGGTAGGGGAGTCCAAAACTAGAGGGCATAGGTTTAAGGTGAGAGGGGAAAGATTTAAAAGGGACCTGAGAGGCAGAGGAGTGGTGGTACATATATGGAATAAGCTGCCAAAGGAAGTGGAAGAGGTGGGTACAATCACAACATTTAAAAGACATTTGTACAGACACACAGATAGGAAAGGTTTAGAGGGACATGGGCCAAACACAGGCAAATGGGTTTAGATTAATTTAGGACATCTGATCAGCATGGACAAGTTGGGCTGAAGGGTCTGATTCCATGCTGTATGATTCTAAGCATTTTCTATGGAGCCATGGACCTCAAAGGATGAGAGGGACCACTGCACATACAAGGGCAAGGTGAGAAGGCAGGCTTCTAAGAACTCCCGCAGCCAGTAGGGAGTTTGAACCCGTAATATTGGCTTTATTCTGTACCCATACTCTAGCCAACTGAGCAAAGTGACCCCTTGCTAAGCACATGACAGCTTTGCTTTATTTGAACTCTGTGCTACAATGCTAAAGTATTTTCCAAAAAGCACTGTAAGTCGGGGGCATTTATTTCACCGACGACTGTTAATTATCATACCAAGAATGAAAAGATCTAGGACCCGCTAACAAATGCAATTACCCCCATGGAACTGATCCTCACTTCCCAGCATTTTGGAGTGCCATCCAGCTCTAATCATGCTGCATGTGAATGCTCGTGGCTGTGGGTCTGGCTGCAGCTGATTCCTGGCAGGGCCAGTGAGGCTGTCTCTGAGCATGGAGGTACCAGAGCAATGGACATGACAGATGAGAATGAGTCAGAGTTCCTAGGTTCTCAGATGCAGAGCCAGCGGCAGGTAGACACT